TGGGTTCAGTACAAGCTAAGCTTTTATTGAGCTTTAATATAGCATTTGTGTTGTTGATGATTAAGTTTCCATAGGTTCCTGCCTTTTAAAAGATTATTTTATTTTATGTTTCAGTTTTGTTCCGGTTGTCTTTAAATTCTATATTGTTTTTTTTTTTGTCTTAATGTTTAAACAAAAGCCAATAAAAATTTTTTTGGGGGGGGTTACAGTAAGACTCTAAAAGGGAAGTGAGTGAGACCGATCCATTAATGTTCACATACTTTAATAAGCCCTAAAACAACAGTAAAACTTACACAAAAATTCACAAGTTTTAATAGAAAAATTAATGGGAACATTTAACAAAAATGTCTCATTAGTTAACCTTAGTTACAATATTTATTAGTCTTTGTTAACATTAGTTAATAAAAATGCACTTGTTCATTAGTTAATGTCAGCTCAGGTCCATTAATATTAACAGAAAGAACTTTTGATTTTTAATAATGCATTAGTAAATGTTAAAACTAACATTACTAAGATTAATAAATGCTTTAGAAATATTTTCATTGCTAGTTCATGTTAACTAATGCAATTAAGTAACCTTAACAGTTGCCACCTTTATGTATAGTGTTAACAAATTAATGTCCTAAGTGCTTTTATAAAATTGTAAGCCATTGTTAAACCTTTTCAAAATTGTCCACATTTTCTCTCATTGTAAGTGTCTCATTGTAACCTTGATTTTTGCTTCTTTGTTTTAAAAGAAACCAAAGGACGAGTAGAAAATATCGTTTTTTGGTAATCAGCATTATGCAACAAATCCAGCTGATTAAGAGCTTGACTTTTAACCATTAAAACCGTAACATACAACATTCTGTTACTCAATAACTAAATCACTTTAATTGTGCACTTAGTGAAAATTGTTTTTTATCTAGTTAATTTCCAACTATAGAAAACTATAATTAAGTTTTTCTTTTCTTTTTTTTAAATCTAGTATATAAATTGGTTTTAGTGTAATCATTGGTCAAAAGTGCTATACGAGTACAAACCCTGGCATTTGACAACAACAGCTTTTGACATTGTAACCAGGAATCGAATATAGTAGAGAATGGACCAGCTGTCAAAGGCTCTGAACTCAGACTGTACATCTACCCAGAATCCCACAGGTGCAAGTTCACTGTGGTGTGCCTGCCATCTAAAACTCTCCGCCGAAACCACAGCTGCGTCAACATGTCACAAGTACGCAGCACCCAGGTGTAGAGATCTCTCTGCTGCAGAGCTACGGGCAGAGAGGAGCGCTTCAGACCTCCAGCCTGAGGAATGTGGAGTCATATTCAGACCAAGAGGTCATGGAGACAGACTGCTTTACATTCAACTTCAGTCCTAATCAGTCGTCATTATTTGTCTCTAAAATCAGCTCACCTGGTGTGCCAAGTGCAAATTGTTGCTTGATTGAGGCCTAAGCAGCGGCGTGCATAAAACAATGTTATTCTTCCCGTTCCCAAGAGACCTCAATCAATCGGTGTCCACTTTAGTCAGAAATAACAGTCATCAAATTTGCCCATCTCAGAGCTTTACATGTAAGACCTGATGGTCATACTCAGCTCAAAAGTCTGCGAAAGACATTAAATCAAGAGTTAAATTAAGACAAGTGAATGCCAGAACGCAACTCACGTAAAAAGTATTTCAAGATGAAGGTATTACACAGAAAAAAAAACATACTTTCCATAGCAAATGGCATCATATGTGATGTTTAGCAGCCTCCCAGTGCATAATTAGCATGTTAATCTCCACCAGTCACGTCATTTACTGCAAAACGCCTAACTAAGCAACAACATAGACCTGATTGGATATCTTAGGCCTGTGCACATCATTCGCTAAGGCTAAAAGCAGTTTCTTGGCATTGTGAATTGGACTGAAGGGCTGCCTTTCCTCATTACTACATCTGTAAGGCTTCTACTGACATGACAAAGACCCAGAACAAAAAGAGCTGTGAGGCTTCATTCATTGGGGTCTGAAGACAAACACTCTGGGCAGAATGACTGCATTGGCCTAATTTCTCTCAAATGTCTCTTAGAGGCAAATTGACTTTGTCGTACTGTCTATCCGAGGTGTTCCTCGCATTTGTCATGAACAGTATATTGCCAGATGCATATTCATAATGAGTGTTTGTGCATATGAGTGTGTGTATGACAAGTAAAAGATTAATGGCCACAAGAAAATAAGCAAATTTCAGTTGAATGTGCTGTCTTTTTGTATAAAAGACAGTGTGCCCAAATAGACTTCAAGCTATTTAAATTCCACCCTCTGTTTCAGTTATATAAACTAAGCAATTAAGTGAGTGCCAGGGTGAGATTTTCATTTCAAATGCTTTAATGCACATCACGCCTCTTCTTAAAATGAAATGAGGCTCATTCTGGCTTTTATAAACGAAAAGAGAATTTAGATCATGCAGTCAGTCAGTGCGCTAGGTGTCAGGAGTTATTAGAGGAAATTTCTGACTAATAGCTGTGAGCCCGCATTGACCTGTTGTCGCGCTAATGAAAAATGACAATCGCCTGTATTGGCTTTGATTTATTACAGCAGGCAATTACTGTCTTAGCAACGGATGTTGTGTAAAAAACAACCGCCACACAGCGAGATGGTTTAATCTAGCAGCGGATGTTTGCTGGAGGAAACTGTACATCAGTAAGCCACATGAGTATTCGTGCCTGCTGAATAGAGATTCCTGTCCAGGTCTTGCCCCGAATAGGATTTGATTCTGTAGCCAAAAGCTTGATAAAATATTGCTCTACCAGTCTCAAGTTTAGCTGTAGTTGAAGTACTGCTCCAAGAGAAAACTGGATAAATGTTGATAAATGTACACTACTATTCAAAAGTTAGGGTTTGGTAGGATCTTTAAATATTTTTGAAAGAAGTCTCTTATGCTTACCAAGGCTGTATTTATTAGATAAAAAAACACAGTTAAACAGTAATCTTGTTGCAAATTAAAATAACCTTTTTCTATTTTAATATATTTGAAAACATAATTTATTCTTGCAGTGCCAAAGTCATTCTAATATGATAATTTAGTGCTCAAGAAACATTCTTCATTACCAGTGATTTAAACAAAAACAGTTAATTTCTTAAAAAACTGACCCCAAACTTTGAAATGGTAATGTTCAAAATGAAATGATTCTGAGATAATAAAAAAAAAGACTCAGTGCCACAAGTAATTCAAAAGGTGCAAACTATGGAAAGCTTATTTCTGCCAGAGAATTTAAAAAAAGAAAAAGAAAAGAAAAAAATAACTGTGACTTTTTATCTCAAAATTCAAACGTTTGTTTCTCTCAAAATTGCGAGTTTATATCAAGCAATTCTCAGTTTGCATCTCAATTCTAAATTGTGAGAAAAAAGTCAGAATTGTGAGAGAAAAAGTTGCAATTACCTTTTTCATTTTTTTTTAAATTCTGTGACAGAAACAAGCTTCCATAGCAAACAGTTAATAGAAGGATGTGACGTTTTCATTAGCTGCATGTGCAGTGTAATTCAGCAATAAATTACACTCACTAGACAGTTCTTTTAAATGGGCCAATGAGTCAAATAAGTCAACCGAGTCAAAATGACTCGCACGTCATAGATCTGAATTACTCTAAAGAATCATTCCATCTGAATTCTCTATTAACTGGATGTTTACACAATGTGCAGTTCAAGAGTTATAATCATTTATTGTAATAAATGCAAATTTACAAAATATATGACAAAAAATACTATTGTTTCATGTAAGTAGTATGTAGTAGTTGGTAAGTAGTAATCATGTAGTATGTAGGACAGAAATCAAAAGCATAAGTCTTATGGAAACTCATTGCATTTTAACCACATACTTTTTATAGTATTCATCCAGAAGGGAATTATCATACAGTAATATTTAAAATGACCTCTACAACTACTGATGTTGCTTATAAAGTTTCTAAATGCCGCTGAAAGCACACAGACTCATCCAGGATTTAGAGTTCTAGTCTTCATGGACGAGAGCCATGCAGCCACTTGCTAGCCATCACAGCTTTGTGATTTAGGAACCTCAAGGGTGGCATCCTTGGCTGCCCTGTAAACGCCCTCATCAGTCCTGCCTCTGTTCTCAGTCCTGTTGCTTTTATAAGCTGTCCTGATATTGGTTCACAGCCTTCAGGGATACTAAATTCTGCTGAAGGTGCTAAGCGAAAGGAGGGGGGAAAGGAAAGGAAAACGAAGGGGAAAAGGCTCTACTGCCCCACTGATTTACAGCTCGACTTTAATTGGGTTGTAAAATCAAATCCAGTGTTGTTTCAGGAATGCCAAGATGTGATTCCTGTGCTGTTTACAGGAGAAGCCAGACAGTCAAGGACATGGAAGGCGAGAGGAAGAGATGAAAAGGCATGAAAGGGAAAAAAAGTAAATAATAGAAAATGAAAAAAAAAAAGTTTTGCTGATATTAAAGTGATACAAAGAACCACAAAATGCTCCCTCACTACTGTATCATTACCAAACTAGCCATTATTGTTTCCTTTCTCGAGCTAAAATATTTTGTGCAAGACCTTATGGGCAGGGCAATTTACTTCGGTAACAATCATGATCATAAAAGTTCGGTCCAACAGAATAATAATTGCAAGGGGGACAAAAAATTATTTTTATCAACCAGATTCATCTGAGCAATTACCTTATTGCAATAAACCAATTTTAAAAACAATCTAATCTAAATGCACTTACGACGCTCACTGCAACATTTTGCACATCCAAAGGAATCACGTCCATAACATTTGCAGTGAACTCCCGAACTCTCATTATGCCTGTAGAAAATCACATTCTCCATAAATGCTGCTCTCTCAGCAATAAATTACATCTGTGTCTGAGATACTGCAGCATTATCTCACTCATTATTCTGGAACGGTGGGTTAGGTTGAATTATTAAAGGCAGTTTATCTAATTGGATGCAGGGCTATGAGGGTAATCCCATCTACAGAGTGATATACATATACTGTAAATGCATACTGCACTCAAATGAACCTCACTTGTAATTATGGGTATGTTCTCCATCTCATTCCAGCTCACTTTGTATCTCTATCTGAAAAAAAAGAGAAGAGAAAATGGAGAAGATCACCAAGAGATTGTAAGTGGAGTACATTTCAGGCCAGTACTCCTACAAATAAAGCTTCTTTAATGGCTCTTAGAAATGCCTTAGGTTCAGCAAAGAATCCACTTCTTATTCCTTATATTCTTCAGTGTGCTAGCGTTCACTAGTTGGATATATGGTTCTTGGAGGGGAACAAATTGCATTATTTTGAACTTATTTGTTATATTATAGGTACTTAAAATTAAGTGTCTTATGCTCACCAAGGCTGTATTTATTTGCAAATACAGTAAAACAGTAATATTGTGAAATACTACTGCAATTTAAAATACTATATTTAAATATATTTAAAAAATGTAATTTATTCCTGTGATGGCAAAGCTGTTAGTTCACCCAAAAATGAAAATTCTGTCATTAATTAATTAATTAAAAAACCCTCATGTCGTTCCAAACTCGTAAGACCTTCGTTCATCTTCAGAACACAAATTAAGATATTTTTGATGAATCTGAGAACTTTCTGACCCTCAATAGACAGTAAGGGAACTACCATGGTCAAGGCACAGAAACGTAGTAACGACATTGATAAAATAGTCTATGTGACATCTGGGGCCTCATGTATAAAACTTTACGTAGATTTCATCCTAAATGTGTGCGTATGCACAAAAGCTAGATTTTGCATACGTACAAAAGTTTTCAGATTTATAAAGCCATGCGTAAGCCAGAACCTGCGCAAAATTCCCTTTGTAATACCCAGTCAGCGGAAGATTGTGCGTACATGAATCTCCACCCCGTCTCCTCCCCGAAATAGCCATATATGGAGCTTACAATGCCTAGTTTTAATATGCATAACGTCATCTGCATATCATTCCCATACATATTCCATCCACATGACACCATGTTTAACGCAGTTAAGGGTAGCCTACAACACGTTAGGAAAATATTAGATACGGACTATAAATGCGTTTTGAGACATCACTATTCTAATTTATGCAATTTGCCTAAAAGGTAAACATATATTTTAGAATGTTTATAGCCTATATTTTTATGGAAAGAGATAGGCCTTATTTTTTTTGCAGTGTAGCTGTCTGACTCACCACGTCAATAACAAAACATTTTGAAAATAAAACGTGCCTATCTTACAGTTTCCTTCAAATTCTCTTTTAAATATGGTGTCTGTCACAATATTGGGAAGAGCACGAAAGGGGTTATCATTAGGCTACTGTCTGTGCGCAACACCTGTGATCAGTTATATGTTTATAGTCTATATTTTTATGGAAAAAGTTTTTTTGCAGTGTAAATAACTGTCTGACTCACCGCGTCAATAACAAAACATTTTGAAAATAAAACGCGCATATCTTATAGTTTCCTTCAAATTCTATCTTTTAAATATGGTGTTTGTCACAGTATTGGGAAGAGCACGAAAGGGGTTATCATTATGGACTGTTTGATCAACGAGCGCATCCTTATGTCTTTCGTTACCGCCTATGTTCCAAAGCCTTCAGACGAATCAAGTTCACATCAATGATCATTATTCGTGCAAAAGTATTTTCTCAGAACATGAGTTTTGCTATTTAGAACACAATTTAAAGCGGAATTTTCATACGCCAAGCAATCCTCGCTGTGATTAAAACATTAAATCACCACAGGAAAATTGTTCGAAAGCAGCACATCCACTGCAAATATTTCTGTTTAAATTCATATACAAATGTTGTAATTTCTGGATAATAATTTCATGAAATGTCAGTGCTTAACTTCATTATTCAGAGTAACATATTTAATCTAAATGTGTATGTCAAATGTAAAACAGACTTTAAAATCATTCTGTTTGCTTCCTTATTTCGCTCACTCCAGTAAAAGAGTGCGTACGCATGGTGTAGTGTCCATACAGTGCGCACATATTTACGCCTAGTTTATTTTTTATAAATCCCGATATGTGCGTGGAAAATTGCGTATGCACATTTCCATGCCCATTTTGTGCATTCGTGACGTTTATACATCAGGCCCCAGGGGTTCAATCGAATTTTATGAGGCTACAAGAATACTTTTTGTCCGCAAAGAAAACAAAAATAACGACTTTACTCAATTTCTTCTCTTCTGGGTCAGTCCGCTGCCATTCACGAGAGTACCACAGCGCATGCATGTGCATTCCTCTTCTCGCAAACAAGGTGCAGCACATGCGTGTTCTACATCAGCAGCGGCACATCCATGCATCATGCTACTCTTGTGAATGGCCGGACTGACTCGGAAGAGAAAAAATTGTTGAATAAAGTCGTAATTTTTGTTTTCTTTGCGCACAAAAAGTATTCTCATAGCTTTATAAAATTACGGTTGACCCACTAATGTATCAAAAATATCTTAATTTGTGTTTCGAAGATGAACGAAGGTCTTAAGGGTTTGGAAGAACAGAATTTCTGAGGAATTAATGACAGAATTTAGATTTTTGAACTATCCCTTAAGGCTATATTTGTATGCTAATTTGGTGCTCAAGAAACATTTCTTTTTATCAATGTTGAAACAGTTGTCCTGTTTTATATTCTTTATATTTTTTGTGAAAACTGTAATAATTTTTTTTAGGATTCTTTGATGAATAGAAAGTTGAATAAAAAAAAAAGAATTTATTTGAAATAGCAATGTAACAATGTAAAAGGCATTAGTGTTGTTTTTGATCAATTCAATACATCCTTGCTGAATAGAACAATTACTTCCAAAAAAAAAAATTATAATAAATTACTTGCCCTAAATTTCTGAATGGTATAAATATATAGGTAATAGTCCAGCCAATTTAACTGAAAATTAGCATCCATATGCCTCATAATGAATTCAGTTCTAGTGTGAGCTAAATGACTGCAAGCCGATCCGCATTAACCCATCATTAATCTATTAAATTGAAATCATAACTACTGTGGCAATTCACATCACTTATGCATTAACACGTGCAGAAAAGAAGTAGCTGAACATATATGTAATGGGATCTTTTACACAACAGGTAGGCTTAATTTAGTGTACGGCTCTCTTTCCTTTTGCTATCACAACAGAGGATAACTTCTACTAAGATAGATGAAGGAGCAGAGAGAAGGAAAGAAGAAGAATAGATGGAAAAAATGAGTGCCAGTGCGGCTAATTAGCCATGCAAATCCTCAAGCTGCCGGATTCAGTTTTGAAATGAAATTGCTCCTTGGATCTGCAGTGCGTATGTTAATCTCTAAGCATTTGCCTGGTTGAAGGCAGTTTGTCGTTCTGAACAGAGGGTTCAAGAGGTTTCTTATTGCCGTCTCTGTCCTTCTGACTGAGCCACTGCTGAACATTTATCCTCCATAGACAGGCCTTTCCCCCTCCTCCATATTCATCAGCCATTTATAAATTATTCTCACCTCCTCTATGACGACCAGATATGCCAGTGTGTGCCAAAGATTGCGGTGCAGAATTGGACCTTGCATGATAAATAAGCCAGTTTATGGAAAGCTAAATAAGAAACAAATAGTTGGGATGTACAATATGCACAATATGCTGAATATATTTTGGCCAGTATTGGATTTTTAATTATGTGTGCTCATTCTTATTTTTACATTTAGATTAGTTTTTGCTTTCATTATAAATAATCACCAATATCAAAGACCACTGGTGTCTCCACCAGGCTACAAACTGCCCCAACTAGCAAGATTTTAGCTTAACCAAAGTCAACCAGCTTAACCAAAAAGACCATGGCAATCAACCAGGTTTACCGGCTGGAGTTTTTTTAATTAAGCACGCAGAGCAACCACCCAGTGAAGCATTACACTAATCTAAACTTGAGGTCATGAACGCTTGAATTAACGTTTCTGCACTTAACATTGAGAGCATAGGCCATAATTTAGATATATTTTTAAGATGGAAAAATACAGTTTTACAAATGCTAGAAACATGGTTTTCAAAGGAAAGATTGCTATCAAATAGCACACCTAGGTCCCAAACTGATTGTCGTAGCAGTGTTAGACACACTGTAAATAGGTTGCTGTACATTTTACAGTAACTTACTGGCAGCTGGATGCCAGTAATTTACTGTAAAAATGTGCAGTAGAGCAAAGTGTTGAAATAATGGATTTGATTCCAGGGGCAGTTCTACGGTGAGTGGATATCCGGGGCTTAGCCCAGAAACATTATTGCATGTATCAGAATACACGGGATACACTTCAAATAAAATAGGCTATGCTAAAAGTTACATTGGCTAAATGGCTTAATTTTTTATTTTTAAAGAGACAAGTATAATTAATTATAATTTGCACTTACAAATTGCATAAATAACATTACAGTGTTTCCCACAGACTTTCATTCTATTTGTGGCGGGGCAGCAGAACGTACAAACGTGTTTCTCGGTTTATCTAAAGTTTATTTCGACTAGTGTAGGTGACCTTAACTTACTCACCAGTCGATGTTATCAGCCTTTTGGCGGCATTCCGGCCGTCAGTCAGAAAAAAAGGCTCCGGCCAACTCCCAACATAAAAAATGGCATGATGAATAATGTTAGTTTGCTGTTAACAAGTGAAAACATCTTAAAATATCGCAGTTTTGCATAAAACAGAAATAATATACTAACCTTTCGTCGAGTTAACGGTGCATTTCTCTTTTGTCCTTTTACAGCCACTTCCACCAAACAGTCAAAAAAGAACTCCCTTGCCATTGGTCAGTTTTTCGCGGGCAAGTTCACTACTGTAAATTGATTTACAGTATTGAGGAAATACAGTAGTGACCGTATATTTTCCCATAATCCTTCGCGGTTTACAGTCAAACACATTTTACAGTATCTTACTGTACATATTACAGTATAATACTGTTCAAATTACAAAAATCAGTTACAGTGCAGTGTTTTAGGTTATTACATGTGGAGGTTTTTGGTCCAATAATTAAAACCTCTGTTTGTTTTAGAATTTAGCAATAGGAAATAACTAGTCATCCAGTTTTGTATTGATATATTTCATCAGGCTGCAAAGAAATATAGAGCTGAGGAGCA